GGGTTTTGTTTGCTTTTAATCAAAATTTCTAATGAATGCAAGTGGTGGAGAATGCAAAGTAAGGCTGAGCGAAACGCAACAGGGATGTGAAGAATTGAGATGCCTTAGAATAATTGTGAAGAAAAAAGATCAAAGAGGGGCCCCTCCATCTTCAGCAGGCTCATGTCATTCTTAAAAGACATACCCATAACGATCAAGGATTCCATATTCCCCTTGAGTCAACTGAATTGAGTTTTCAGCCTTAGCCAGTGGTGTCCAAACTTTTTCAAAGAGGACCAGATTTGATGAAGTGAAGGGCCGTGAGGGACGCCCAAAGGGCCGACCAAAGTTGTTGGGCCAAATGATGGAAAGATCACGAGGCTCCAAAAATAACAGATTGGCAAATCAAATTACAGGAATTGGTGGAGACGGCTCAATTGACTAGCAAACTCAGAAGAAACTCAAAGCAAAAATTTGCGGAAAAACGGGATGGCTATAGAAGATTTGTTCAAAAATACAATAATAGTTTTGACTCCATGCTAGCTCCAGCCCTTAAGATAGCATTTAGGAACTAAAAGGAGGTGGACAACAATTAAGGATTAATTATGTTTTCAGAATGTATTGGGAAATTTATATAGAAAGGTTTACTGTTTCGTGTACATTCAATTGTAAGATAAAATATATGCAAAGGGACTTGACAGGAAGTCAAAGTTGAAGAAAAGATTTTGTAAGATAAAAGGGGGGAAAATATTTACTTTCATTATTATCATTTTGTGTGTGTGTGTGTGTGTGTGTACATGTGTGTGTTTTTGTATGGAATGTTTGTATGGAAGGTAAATAACAAATAACAAACTAAATATTAATGTATGTAATTTTTATTTCTCAATTATATTTAGTGGTAGTATGGTTGTATTGTTCTTTGTAACATAAAATAATTCAATAAAAATTATTTTAAAAAACAGGATTTTTCTTAGGATTGAAGTTGTTCAGCTTTTTTTAGAATTTTACTCCAGGAAATAAACTCCACAGGGGCCAGATTAAACTGACTGGTGGGCCCCCAAAATGGACTTTGGACATGCCTGGCCTTAGCTGTAGCCTTCAGGGCAACATTATTCATCTTCCCCATCCCACAAAGAACCTAAGGATAAGATAGATCTCACCACCCTGTTGGCCTAGAAGGCCATCTATACAATAGCTGCATGAGCGAGAGGACCACAACTGAGTGAGAGACAAGACTGCAATGGTGAGACATGAAAGGCCATTTATGAGCGAAGTGTTGTTTTCAAGATCTGGAATCAATTGCAGACACTTTGCATGCAATGCAAGGCAGACCACATCAAGAGGACGTGCTCAGATCTCTCTATTATGTCAGAGTTCAGGAAGAATGTTGACAAACCCAAATGGATTTAGAGGAGCAGAGCTGAGAAAACGTGTATGAAGCAAGCATGGCCCATGGAGGAAAGAATATGCCTAGAATTGAGAATTTGTGGGTGCTTCTTGCTGCCTAAATGGAGATGTATGAGTGTATCGAAACCCCATTATTTTTGCATACTGCACAAAGGTAAGAATCACATCCATTGTTCCATCCACTTTTGCCTATGGCTCTGCCTGCCTTTGGTATGTGGCTCCTTGGGCTAACACCACTAAGCTATTATTATGAAGCTACATCATTATCAGTACTATCATTATCATTACCGTACCTACAGGACCGCCTCTCCCGGTATGCCCCAAGGAGGACCTTAAGGTCCATATATAGCAACACCCTAGAGGTCCCGGGCCCTAAGGAAGTTAGATTAGCCTCAACCAGAGCCAGGGCCTTCTCAACACTGGCTCTAGCCTGGTGGAACACTCTGCCTCATGAGACCAGGGCCCTGCGGGATCTGATTTCTTTCCGCAGGGCCTGTAAGGCAGAGTTGTTCCACCTGGCCTTTGGCTTAGAATCAGTTTGATTCCCTCCCCCTCTTTCTTTTTCCTTTCTCCTCCTGTGAAGAGGCTGCATCCTAATGTTTTAATGTTGTATCTTAATCTTTTAAATTGTATTTTAATCAACTTGTTTTTATTATTGGTTGTTACCCGCCCTGAGCCTGGTCTTGGCTGGGGAGGGAGGGGTATAAATAAAAAATTATTATTATTATTATTATTATTATTATTATTATTATTATTATTATTATTCCACCCTTCTTCCAAGGATCACAGGATGTTATGCAACATAAAAACACAAAAATGAATAGCATAGTATCAAAGAAAAATAATACCTCCCTCCCCCAATTTCAAGGACCATATATTGTGTCAAAGGCATGGAAGAAGTGGAATGTTTTTGCCTGGCACTTAAAGATAGTAATATAGGAGCTGGGCAACCAACCCTGGGGAGATCAGTCCACAAACAGGGAGCCACTGCAGAAAAGGCCCATTCTTGTGCTGCTGCCCTCTGGATCTCTCAGACAGGAGGCACACGAAGAAGGGCCTCAGATGATGATCACAGGGTCTGGGTCAGGTCATATGTAGAAAGTAAGCAAATACGCTTTATTGTACCAGCCAAATCTATATAACTATAATATAAAATCAGAACTCACAGAACTCTAGCCCAACGGTTGCCATGAATTTGATATGAACTGATTTTATAATGAATTGATTTTAGAATGCTGTATTATTTTACTGTTGTTAGCTGCTCTGAGCCAGGCTTTGGCTGGGGAGGGCGGGATATATATATTATATATATATGAAATAATAAACAACTTCCATCAGAATCCATCAGAATCATAAAATGCAGGTGCATATGTAAAACGGGGGTCTCCACACAGCATACAGTATTTTTCTATTTAGGCCTCTGAATCTCCCTTACCGTTTGCTGCAATTTTATCCAGATTCTTCTTCCTAACCTTTCTTGCCACCAGCACAAAAAGTCACTGGGGCATTAGCATCACTGAGCAGCCATAGAACCCTCTCTGCCAGGGAGAGACTGCTTTCCTGGACAAACAAGGGAATTAGAAAGTGTACCCTAGGTTCTGTGTATAGTGGGCAATGTAATAAATAATGCTGGACGTCCTCCACATGCGGTTGCCCACAAATACAAAGCCTATACGAAGTACAGAACCCTATTATAACGCCCATCCAGGACAGCAGAGGGTATTTCCTGGAAATGCAGTCCTTGAGGTCCTGAGTTCAAACCTGACTAGCAGTGACTCTTCAGCATTTCAAGCAAAAAAAATTTCCACCCCCTACTATGAGATACTTCTAGCAGGAGATGGCTAGGGCTGAACCCTGGAGCCCCTCTACCTGCATAGGTTAATGTTGCTGAATACACAATAATTTGGTCTTACATGTGAAAGGTGAATACCTTTGATGGTATTGTGGCATTGTTTTTTTGCTTTGGTTTTGTGAGTTCTGTAAGCACCCTCAAATGCTGTAAAACATTAACTCCATGTGATATTTCCCAGGGACCACAAGATCATACTGACAAGAGGCAGCATATATTTTGCTGCTGTTTCAGCTCCTTTTAAATCTTCTAACAGGCAAGAGAAGTCACATCTACCACTCCCTGGAGTTGCAGAAACTCTTTCCTAGAAAGGGAGAGACTGTTTCTCTGGTAAGTCCTCTATGGCACTGCCTGTCCTCTATGGCACTGCCTGTCCTTGCAAAGAATGCCCCCTAATTTGGGCAATACTAAAGAGGTTCCATCCAACTAATTTGTTCATGGAGTAGACTTGATGAAATTATTGATGCCCGTTGTTTTCACTGGGTATACTTTGAGTAGGAATTACATTAGATACAACCATTACTGCTCTTTTTTGCAGGGGGGAGGGACCAGTTTATAGAACTCCTTGTCGTCAGAGGTCCAATTGGTACTGCACTGGGTGAGGTTTAAAAGGTAAAGAGACCCCTGACAGTTAAGTCCAGTCGCGGACAACTCTGGGGTTGCAGCGCTCATCTCGCTTTACTGGCCAAGGGAGCCGGCGTTTGTCCACAGTTTTTCCAGGTCATGTGGCCAGCATGACTGGTGAAACCAGAGCAGCACACAGAAATGCTGTTTACCTTCCCACCAGAGTGGTACCTATTTATCTACTTGCACTTTGGTGGTTTACACCACAGTGCCACCCGTGTCCCTCTGGGTGAGGTTTAGAGACATACATATTCCAACAGGTATTTTAGATGTTTCTGGTTGATTACACACATACATTTATATATCTGCAGTTCTATCTGCCCTTAATTATTTATATATGCTTGCTTAGGTTTGTAATTTTACTGACTGATATTGCAATCAACACACACCTCATTTAGTTATAGCAATAGCAGGCCACACCCCTCTCCAATAGGCTTGACACGTATAGCCAGTGTAGTGTAGTGGTAAAGATTTAGACTAGGACTTTGGAGATAAGATTTCAAATCCTCACTCAGCCAGGAAACCAGTCACTGTCTCTCAGCCTAATACCATACCTCAGAGGTTGCAAGGATGAAATGGAAAGGAGGAGTTCCATGCATACAGTACCTTCTTGAGCTCCATGAAGGAAAGATGGAAAAGAAATGTGTAATAATAAAATAAAATAAAACATCTCTGAAGCATAGCTGTCAAGTGTCCCTTATTTGAAGGGACAGTCCTTATTCCAGTGCCATGTCCCGCTGCTGTCCGTTATTGATGGATGTCCCTTAAATGTCCCTTAAATGATGTCCCTTAAATTTCAAAGGAAGTAGCTCCTCTCCCTCCCTCCCTGCCAGCCAGGGAGGAGGGAGGCTCCAACTGTGTTGCTTGGCTGTGTTGCTCACCCAATAAGAAGTCTAAGAAAGACTGGGGGTGGAGCTTGCATGCCTTGTGTGTGGCTAGTTAATGCAAGCTGAGGGGGGTTTTGAATGCTGGACGCCATTTTGTTACACGTGCTGCTGCAAACTTTGCAGTGCAAAGCCAGGCCGGGGAGCCATCTTAAGTTGAGGCTGCATAGGCCTTGTGGTGCATGTGATTCAGATTCTATTCAGTTGAACCTCTGGTTACAAAGTTGGTTGGACAGTGTTCTCGAAGCTATCAGCATGAGTTTGACCAGACTGCAGGAGGACAGGAAGACTGGAGTGCCTGGAACAGGTGAGGCTGCAGGTCCCTTATTTTGGCTGCTGGTCCCTTATTTTCAAGGCCGCTGGTCCCTTATTTTCAAATCTGTAAGTTGACAGCTATTCTCTGAAGCTGTTGCATTTCAAGAGAAGCTTATGGTGGCAAAACTGCAGGGCTAAAAAGAGACAGACAGAGAAAACCAAAACCAGTTTGGCCCCAAAGATTACCTCTAGAAAGGTGCGGAAATAGAACCATCCAAACTTTCCGACTTGAGTCTTAAGATAAGTTTGGTGTTTTATTATATTTTTATATCTGTTGGAAACCTCCCAGAAAGGCTGGGGCAACACAGTCCAGTGGGTGGGGTATTATTATTATTATTATTATTATTATTATTATTATTACTACTACTACTACTACTATTATTAAACTTAAGGATTTCTTGTCTGCTCCTTGCCCTCCTGAGCAGCCGTCTACAATGCACAAAAAAGCCTCTTCAGAACAATATGGGGTGGGGTAAACTTCCTTAAGTTAATTTATTTAAGGATCCAAGCCTGGTTTTGGGTGATGCCCTCTTCCTCCAGCAGCCCCCCTGCCTGCTTCACCCCACAATATTCAGAATGGCCTCTGCACCCCCAAAAGTTTTTTGGGAGCACAGGTGGCTACAAGGAAGGAAGGAAAGGGAAAATTTCCTTTCATGAACTTCTTTGAGTTAGCTCATGTTAGGAGCCAAACCTCCGTAACAGATCAGCCTGCAGTAGAATTCTTCCTTGCGGGGAAGCTGCCCTCCACAGCTCCTGGTTCTTGGAGAAGGGCAAGCAGCACCATTCCTCTTCCTAGTAAGCTGCAAGACTTTGCCTTCAACAGCATCTTAAAAGAAAACACAAATGTCTCTGACCCGAGTCCTGTTTCTTCTGTGAGTCAGTTGCTATACTTAATTTATATCCTCCAGTGCCAAAGGGGGATTTGCAAGACTCTAAGCTAGCTAGAAATGGCTGTTTTTAGAAGAGGAGTCATACCATTAAATATATGGTATTATGAATCACCCCAAACATCATCTGATTTGCTCTTAAATGTGTAAGATGACTGACTCCACACACACACCCATGTGCACCCACAGAGGGTGTAATTGATGGATCACTCCCCCCATCACCACAAAGCATATTCTGTTAATTAGTTTTGACACAAACAAGACAAAAGGATATCCACATCCTGCTTTACATTAAGCATCTTTATACAACAAGCCATTCAGCAAATAAACGGCTTCCTCTGTTTTGTGTGTTGCAATGACAATTGCATCAAGGAGTGGTTATCATTTGTTGTTGCGTCAAGGGAATTGCTAGTGTTGTGTTTGGCAAACAAACAATACTCGTGCTGGCTTTACCTATGGCCTGTTTTCAATGGACGCTGAGTTATTCGCAATGGCAAAGGAGACTGGGAGTCTGCACCAAAATGAGGATGTAAAAAATAATTCACTAAACGTATATTGTGCCAGGTGTCACCAACATGGTAATTGTAGGCACTAATGTGCCTGCCAGGAAATTGTATAGAGGCCACAAATGAACACTCCTCCTTAAACATGCCCACATTTCATAGGATGTCAGGACTGACTAGACACCCAACTTCCTTTCTGTTCTGAAAAGCAGATATGTACAAAGAGCCTCTATCTATGAGTGCAGAAATGGTTGGTGTAGATACCTTTCTCCCTTTGACAGGTGTGGGGGGTGGGGGTGGACATTTGTAGCCCAACAATACCTGGAGGGCCATCTGTTCCCTGTTCCTGTTCCACACTGTGCTGGTGTACTAAATCCGAAGTTAAATGATATAATGTCCTGATTTACCAATGACAGGGATGCTAAAAGTATCAACCCAGGAACTTAACAGCTCCCAGGTGCAATGTTTTTGGTTACCTTTGCATGGGACCTCAAGTTTTCTTTAGGTGGTTGGAGAATCTAAAGCGAGTTCTGCAGCATTTGAAACACCAGGGAAGAAAAGTATTAACAAACTGACTTTCTGGGCCAGATGATGCTTTCAAGGATTGTGAGGTTTTCTATCTGCTGAGGTCAGGTTCACAGAGCTAACAATGATGATGTTTCTGTATTGTTGCTGGAAGGTGACCTCATCTTTCTAGCGTTCACACACACTGCTCCCCAAGCTGCCAAACCCCAGGGAGCCATATCTCCTGAAGTTCATCCCATGTAGAGACTTCATCTTTTCTGCAGAAAAGGTCATAGGCCTGTTGAAAACAGGCTCAAGGTGAGCAGCTTGTGCTGGGTTTTGTCACTGATAGGGGCCAAGGGAACAGAAGAGAGAGCAGGGTAGTGGGGAAGTAGAAAACACTGGCCAACTTTTATGTCCTATTAACATCTCTACTGGGTAAGACTGCTTACGAGCTCTCATCTCAATCACAAAGTACTCTACTCTAGAACAACAACTACTCTAGAACAACAACTATGATTACAATCCATCATCACCCTAGTTCTCTAGTTTTGCTCAAGCTGGGTGGATGTAGTTCAGCTCTGTATGGCAGGACCAACCGAAACTTGATCAGTGCACAGATATAGCTAGCAGCACTTTTCATACAAATGGCAATTGAGGGAAATATCAAAAGCACCATCACTGCTTATATTCAATTTGAGACATTCTTGCTCATGTTTCCTTGGCCACTAGGGAGGAGAAAGATGTCAGCAAATAATGATTGAGGAACAAAATGGGGGGGGCAGTCTCTTTTGGGAAGGCTCTCTCCATATGATCTCTAGGTGCCTAGACATCTCATAGTCAGCAAACCCTTTTTATCCTCCCTGCTCTTTATGACCTTCCCGCCCTGACCTTTGGCTCTGAAATTGCTCTAGAGACCAAATAATTCAAAAAGGAAGTTAAGATGAACATCATGTTCTCTTTCAGATGAGTTCTCATATTTAAATTTTCATGGCATGGCATTGCTTGAATTTTGTGAATGTCCAATTTATACCAGCTGACGATCACACACCCATGGGGCTTACGAGTTTCTAGATTTATTTCAACCAGACCTTAGGTGTGAGCTAGTGCCAAAACTGCCTTGGTTGCCCTGATGCAGGGATCAGGAATTGGATCCAGCTGGTGGAGTGGACAGAGGAGTTTAACTGCACAACATACACTACTAGTGTGCACTTGGTTCCCTCCTGAGTCTGAGCCTGGACAAGACGCGGAGCGTCGGGTGGGGGGTTACAGAGAAGATCCCAGGTGAATCAGACCATCTAGCATCTTGGTTCTCTTAGGGCCCATCCATACTTCTGTTTATCCCATTATTTCAAATGATTTCAAGACATGGGTCTGAGAAGCAATGCTTCTTTCGGGGGGGGAGGTGGGGGAACTCACCACAAAGTTTGTTTGTTGTTTGTTTGTTTGTTTGTTTACTGCAGGCCCAGTCACACACACACACCCCCGGGCAGCAACTAAATGTAAGATGTGATTAATAAACTCAAGCAGACAATGATATGGATTATAAATGTGCACAACTTTACTGATTACAGATATAGGTGGGTTTTTGGCTCAGGTATCGGGAATATATCTGTTTCAGCATCCCTGGACAATAAATAAATCATTTTATAAAGGTAAGAGAACTCAGTTCCCCTGAGTTCCTGCTCCAATAAAACTTTGTCCACATTTAATGGCAGATATCTATTGGGAGAAGGAATAGTTCCATTGTTACACTTAATAGAAATAGAAGAGCAAACAAAGCCACAGTTCAAGGTGCCTAAGTATTCTTTAAAGTGGTATGCAAAACAGCAACAACAATACAGTGGTACCTCATGTTGCATAACCTCCAGGTTACGGAATCTTTGGGTTATGGCCGCGGCAAACCCAGAAGTGTATACTTCTGGGTTTCGCCACTCACGCATGCCCAGAAGCACTCTATAGTGTCGCATGCATGCGCAAAAGCGGTGCCTCTAGTTATGGATTTTTCAGGGTGCACACAGCACCCTGAAATGAATGAAATCCACAACCAGAGGTACCACTGTATTCTAGCAAGGATGCATTGAAATAGCAACTAGGGGCAAATGCACAGCAAGTTGTTTTTTTTTTTTCAAACCTACAGATGAAAGTGCTCCCAGGTCTCTGCATAACAACTTGTTCAACCTCAGGAGCTCTGCTAGAAAGACGAGCTGTGGAGATGCTGCCAGCACACACACAGCCTAGGAGGGAGGAGCAGGCAGGATTCCCTTCACAGACTTGCACCCCAACCCCTTGCTATCATTGATGCAATGATAGTGCATTATTGGTGGAATTATACTGGACCATCCACACATCATTCCACTTTCAGTTGTACTGCAATAATACCCCAGTGCTAAGCATTATTGCAATCTGGAAATATAACAAAACAGCATATGGCTAACCTGACCCAACAACCATTAATAATGGTAGAGGACCCTTTGGAAAATATACCAAAGGTGTTGGAAAAAATCTCACAATTCGGACAAATAGCAGGTTTCAAGCTGAATAAAACTAAAACTAAATACTATATATATAGTATTATATATAATACTATATATATATATAATATTTTATATGCTTTCGTAGATTTTCACGGGTACAGGAATGCAGGTTTTGGTGTCCTCGGGTGTCTTCCCGTGTAAAAGTTGGGGTGTCTAGGCGACGTTTCGACGAGGTCTCACTCGTCATCTTCAGGCTGGTGCTTTCGGCTTCTTGTTACTGGAACAGAGCAGGATCTCAGTGTTTGAGTTCCTATAAATACTGTTGAGGGGGTGTGGTGTATAGCCTCCAATGTTCTGGGCAGAGAGGAAGTTCCCAGGCTAGTGTGCCTTTTCTTCTTTTGTTCCTTAATTACTTGAGGGATATCTTGAGTGATTTCTTGAGTGATATCCTGAGTACCACTTAGGTGGGTCATTAGGTGTGGATTAGTTGCTAAAGCCTTCGTGTCTTGACTTCTTGAACTTTGTGAAGAGTTTTTCTGAGAAGATGGCTGTTCTGCACTTAGTTGTGCTCTGGCTTGGCTTCGTGTATAGGGGCGAGCTGTGGTTTTGTGTCCTGTGCCAGCTCGCCCCTATACACGAAGCCAAGCCAGAGCACAACTAAGTGCAGTACAGCCATCTTCTCAGAAAAACTCTTCACAAAGTTCAAGAAGTCAAGACACGAAGGCTTTAGCAACTAATCCACACCTAATGACCCACCTAAGTGGTACTCAGGATATCACTCAAGAAATCACTCAAGATATCCCTCAAGTAATTAAGGAACAAAAGAAGAAAAGGCACACTAGCCTGGGAACTTCCTCTCTGCCCAGAACATTGGAGGCTATACACCACACCCCCTCAACAGTATTTATAGGAACTCAAACACTGAGATCCTGCTCTGTTCCAGTAACAAGAAGCCGAAAAGCACCAGCCTGAAGATGACGAGTGAGACCTCGTCGAAACGTCGCCTAGACACCCCAACTTTTACACGGGAAGACACCCGAGGACACCAAAACCTGCATTCCTGTACCCGTGAAAATCTACGAAAGCATATATATATATAAAATACTATATATATACTATATATATACTATATATATAGTATTTAGTATAACTAAATACCAATACTAAAGTATTGGTAAAGAATATGACAGAACAACAGAAAAATAAATTTAGACAATCAGCAGAATTGGTGGTAGAAAAAAGGTGAAATATTTGGGGGTGTGGTTGACACCCAGAAATATAAACATATTTAAAGATAATTATACAAAGGTGTGGAGTGAAATAAAGAGAGATATGGAAATATGGGGAAGGCTGAAACTACCTATGTGGGGAAGGATCTCTGTGATAAAAATGAATGTATTGCCAAGAATGTCTTTTCTATTTCAAACAGTACTGGTGATCAAAGGGGCAAGTCACTTCAAACAATGGCAAAAAGATATTTCTAAATTTGTCTGGTGGGGGGACGACGACCCAGAATTAAATATAAATTGTTAATGGATGCCAAAGAAAGGGGTGGATTCTCCCTGCCAGACATAAAACTGTGCTGTATTATGAAGCGTCCTGCCGGTGCTGGCTATGGGGATGGATACAGATGTGTTGGCTCTGGAAGGGCATGATAATAGATTTGGGTGGCATGCATATGTATGGTATGGAAAAACAAAGGTACACAAGGGATTCCTGAACCACATTGTAAGGAAATCAATTCATCAAGTATGGGAAAAGTATAAACACTTACTGGAAACTAAAACACCATGGTGGTTCTCCCCATAAGAAGCGATATCTGTTAAAAAAGTAAATATGAAAGGGGATTGGGCGACCTATCGAGAATTATTAATGGAGGCTGAATAGGATGTACTGATGGTATTTGAGTTTGACAAAACTAGCAAAAATGTGTAAAAGTGCATCAAATGTGTGTTGGAAACGTAAGGAAAAGGAAGGTGTGTTTTACCACGTGTGGTGGTCCTGTAGAAAAGTAAAAGACTTCTGGGAAATGATATATAATGAACTGAAAAAGATGTTTAAGACAACCTTCACTAAAAAAAACTAGAAGACTTTTTACTTGGATTAACAGGGGATGGAATAGAATCATAGAATCATAGAGTTGGAAGAGACCACAAGGGCCATCGAGCCAACCCCCTGCCAAGCAGGAAACACCATCAGAGCACTCCTGACATATGGTTGTCAAGCCTCTGCTTAAAGACCTCCAAAGAAGGAGACTCCACCACACTCCTTGGCAGCAAATTCCAAGGAGTGTGGTGGAGTCTCCTTGGAATACCTAGGGACCCTTGGAATACCTAGGGTGGAATACCTAGGGACCTAAAAAGGTTATTTATGTAAGCGACAACAGCTGCAAAGATGTTGCTTGCCTAGAATTGAAAACAGGAGAAGATACCAACAAAAGAAGAATGGATAACTAAGATGATGGACTATGCTGAAATGGCAAAGGTAACCGCGAAGATCAGAGATTAGGATGAGAAGAAGTTTGAGCAGGAATGGAAGGAATTTATAGTGTGTGTTTTTTAAAGAAACCCCCCACTGTAAATCTATTAAAACGTTAGCAGGTTTGATATAACATTTATGTAGTTAAATAATTGGAAATTAAGATAAACAAGAGGGAAAACAAAGAATCTGAAGATAAAATGAGATGCAAGAAATTATGTGGGGAAAGAATGGAATCCAGGGGTGGGGCAGGGGAAAGTCTATATTTTTGTTTCCTCTTATTTGGAAAAGCATTGAATTTATGAATCATTGTGATTATAAAATTTGAAATATATATATATATATATATATATATATATATATATATGCTTTCGTAGATTTTCACGGGTACAGGAATGCAGGTTTTGGTGTCCTCGGGTGTCTTCCCGTGTAAAAGTTGGGGTGTCTAGGCGACGTTTCGACGAGGTCTCACTCGTCATCTTCAGGCTGGTGCTTTCGGCTTCTTGTTACTGGAACAAGAAGCCGAAAGCACCAGCCTGAAGATGACGAGTGAGACCTCGTCGAAACGTCGCCTAGACACCCCAACTTTTACACGGGAAGACACCCGAGGACACCAAAACCTGCATATATATATATATATATATATATATATATATATATATATATATAAAACAACCAATAAAAATAAAAAGTAGGACAACAGCCTCTCTGCCTACTCATAATTTGAATTCTGGATCTGGCCTCCTCCCATTGCATGGATAACTTAGAGCCCATGCTCTAAACCGTCATGGAAAGAAACTGTATTGCAGCTTGGAGTTGGGATGCTTCTTTCAAGGTAGGGATTCTAGAAAAGTGTTTTCTCTTCTCAGATCATTATAACTACCTTAAATCTTGTTCTCTTTCCTGCCCCCAAAATAGGTAGGTTAAAAAGAGAAATGGTGGCACTACCCAACAATTTTGCTAAAGAAAGAAATGATCTGCCCTAATAATAATAATTATAATAATTTCTACCAAGTGCACAGAAAGTCATCCTGTTTTTTTGCTTGAGGAAACCCAACACACTGCAGCATAAAGTAATATTTAAGAGCATAATGAAACAGAAGCATCTGGGAAGGCTGACATTAACAAATTGCATAATAGTCTACAGTATATAAATAGGTTTGGTGGGGCTTCCTTCCATTGCTAAATATCTTAGATGGGGGGAGGGGTGCGGAGAGAAGAAGTCCAAGCTCCTTCAATGTTTTAATTATATACGGTAATTCCAGGATGGAAAATGTTCACCAGAGATTTCTCTCACAGGCTTGCCCCTCACTGCCTCATGGAGCCCAGCCGAGGCTGCCGGGAGCTGATGCTGGTTCCAGGGTTCGGAAGCAGGGTGGGGCAGCCCTGCTCCACAAGCTGACATAGCCTAGCCCTACCCTTCACCACCCCACACTCAGCTGATCTGAGATTCCTGGATCCTGGGATCTACCGTGCAAAATGGGAGCCTCTGCAATTAGCTGGCGGCCAAAACAAACCTGAACTGTTCGAGGTAAATGTACGTGGTGAGAAAAGGGAGTGCTAGTTCCTGTTGGGTCACCCCTTTTCCTGCTTGCAATTGGACATGCGGATAGCCAGCCAATCAGGTTTTTTTTAAAAAAAAAAATGTTGATGGGGGGGGGGAGAGAAAAAGTTCTGGAACACAGTTCCAGTGAGTTCCAGCTGAAAAAAAGCCCTGCCAATAGTATTTCTTTTGTCCCATCGCTTTCCCCAGAAAAACCAGCTGTTTACTGCTAAATCAGAACAAATGTTAATTCACGGAAAACCCAACTGATGTTTGTTCCAATTTAGCAGTAAAGAGCAGGTTTTTCTGGGGAAAGTGGCAAGACAAAAAAAGCACCTCTCAGCCATAGTTTAAAATTATGTGAAATCACATGACAAACAGAAGTGTGGCTGGGCCCTGAATGCCCAACCAGGTGCCCTTGAGAAGCCTGTATGTGAGCTGAGCATGGAATCAACCACCCTCTTATGTTGTAGCTGCTACCCAGCAGCCTGTTATTTAGTCACATGCTGCCTCTGAATCTGGAGGTTCCATTCACATGTGCCAGAAGGCCTGGAGTTCCAGTGGACTTTGCAGAGCTACAGATACTTAGGGGTTATCCACACTTCCTTTTGCCCCATTCCTTTACTCTAGGGGGGAACTGCTCTTCAGTGCTCACATCAGAGCAATTGGCAATCTGACTTTTTCCCTGGATTGCTGTTTGTTCCACTCTATCGCTAAAGAGTGGCTTTCCCCTTGGAAAGGACTGGAGCTAGGGGGGGGGAACCACTCAGACCTGTGCCTAGAAAGCATGGGCCAAGTGGAAAGTGCTCAGACCAGTACTTTCTAAGCATGGAACAAGCGGAAGTCTGGGCGAATGAAAATTCAGAAACAAGACACAGCTCTAAACAAAACAAAAGCAAAAGCAAAAAAAGCATATGTACCCTGTAAGAATAATGAGGCCCAGCTTTAGAGAGAGAAGTTAAGTTTAAATATATGACCCCTGACTTTCTGAGTGAAACAACTGAAGAATGGGGAAGGGCAGTAGCTCAATAGTAGATAATTTGCTTTTCATGCAAAAGATCTGAGGTTCAGTCCCCAGCATTTCCAGGTAGGCCTGGGGGCGACTGCTGGCTGAAACCCTGAAGAGCAGCTGCCAGTCAGTGTAGACAATACTGGCTGATCGGACTAGTGATCTGACTCAGAAGAAGACAGTTTCCTGTGTTCCCATGACCGGAAGTGAAAGCTTGCCAATGGATGCTCCCAATTGACCAAACCAGACTGCTCATTTATTAGCTACAAATTTCATTATAAAGCACCCTGTTTCCTGCCACACCATGTTACAAGCAGCCACATGGACCTTATGCCTGCTTCCGGCAGGAGAACTGCTGCTTGCAGACACTTTCGTGTCTGTTACTGTGAGGCTCTGGCTCCCCTTGTGAGCCTCACTCTACGCCTGAGCTCACATTGCATGTCTGCTTCCAGAACAACTGTCTACTTAACAGTTGCATCCGCGCCAAAAGAAAGCCAACATCTGGGAAGCAAAGAGGCAGCTTGTCTCATCTCCACCTCGACTAGCTCCATGGTTGATCCTGCTGTCTGCTCCACCCCTCCAAGAAGAAAACACATGTCATGCACCAGCCCTCCTGCTAATAGACATTTGGCCGGGGGCGGCTGGATCCTTGCCTTGGGCTGGTACTCACGAGACCTGACTCATATTTCTTTCCACAGTAGTGACCACGATTGCCTACTGGGAGCCCCTGAATGCCTGCTATCAATTACCCTTGATTGACTCTGAAGTCACTGGGATCTCTCAGCCAGCAAAGGATTGCTACAAAGGGCAGATCAGATGCCGCAGAACAGTGCTGGAAAGGAAGGTGGTGGCAGGTGAAGGAAATAAAAAGACTGGGAGGAGGACCAAAATAGAGAGTTTTTTCTTTCTTTCTTTTTTAAAAAGCAAGGCAAGAGGAAACAGAAGGGGAGAAAACACTTTTAAACGCAGAACAATGGGTTGCATCCAATGCGAAGTTAAAGTCACTTAGTATTATACAAGTTGTATAATGTTGTACCCGCTAGGGACGCGGGTGGCGCTGTGGGTAAAAGCCTCAGCGCCTAGGGCTTGCCGATCGAAAGGTCGGCGGTTCGAATCCCCGCGGCGGGGTGCGCTCCCATTGCTCGGTCCCAGTGCCTGCCAACCTAGCAGTTTGAAAGCACTCCTGGGTGCAAGTAGATAAATAGGGACCGCTTACTGGCGGGAAGGTAAACGGCGTTTCCGTGTGCTGCACTGGCTCGCCAGATGCGGCTTTGTCACGCTGGCCACGTGACCCGGAAGTGTCTCCGGACAGCGCTGGCCCCCGGCCTCTTAAGTGAGATGGGCGCACAACCCCAGAGTCTGTCAAGACTGCCCCGTACAGGCAGGGGTACCTTTACCTTTTTTATAATGTTGTACCTTGGTTTGCATACATCTTGGTTTGCATACGTTTTGGATTACAAACACGTCAAACCTTGAAGTGTGTGTCCTAGTTTGCAACCTTTTTTTGGATTACAACCCGTTTTGGGGGGGGGGGTTACGGACAAAAAAATGTTGGGAGGCCCCATTGGCGAAAGCGCGACTTGGGTTACAACCTGTTTTGGTTTACAAACGGACCTCCGGAACAGATTATGGTTGTAAACCAAGGTACCACTGTACTCGTTCCACACCATTGGAACGTTGTTGCACAAGATTATGCATAAGCAGGTTGCTGGTAAAATTTGTGGCACAATCAGTTGCACGAGGTAGAGGTGGCCTGAAAGTTTGGGAACCACTTATCTATATGAAACTGTTGGAAGCAATCACCAGGAGGTTTGTGACACACTGCCATCAGTATTCTAACGATACTCAGTTCTATTAAATCTGTCAGGAGAGGCCATGAATAAGCTGAGCCAGTGCCTGGATGCAGTGGTGGGGTGAAAAGGCTGAAGCTGAATCCTGTTAAAACAGACACACTATGGGCAAGAGCTTCCCAGGTCTGAGCACTGAGGAGCCTGCCTGATCTGGATGGGGTTGTACTCCTGGTAGCAAAGTTATCCCTGTCCAGGTAAAGGCGCAGCTGACACACTAGCTGAACCTAATTAAAGCTTTGGCTGGTGCATCAACTGTGCACTTCCCTGAATGGGGACAACTTTGCCACAGTAACACATGGATTGGTTATCTCATGTCTGGACTATTGTAATGAGCTTTATGTGGAGCTTCCCTTGCAGCTGGTTCAGAACAGTATAACCGAGATGCAGACTGCTACTCCATATTGGGCTAGTATCACACCTGTGCTGAAGGATCGGCAGTGAAAGGAAACACTGTTTTTTGGGTAACTTGGTCCAGAGTTATTTAGGGCTTTGTAGCGCAAAATACGGTCTGAAGCTCAACATAAAAAAAAACTAAGATCATGGCCACTGGTCCCATCATCTCCTGGCAAATAGAAGGGGAAGAAATGGAGGCAGTGAGAGATTTTACTTTCTTGGGCTCCATGATCACTGCAGATGGTGACAGCAGTCACGAAATTAAAAGACGCCTGCTTCTTGGGAGAAAAGCAATGACAAACCTAGACAGCATCCTAAAAAGTAGAGACATCACCTTGCCAACAAAGGTCCGTATAGTTAAAGCTATGGTTTTCCCAGTAGTGATGTATGGAAGTGAGAGCTGGACCATAAAGAACTGATGCTTTTGAATTATGTGCTGGAGGAGACTCTTGAGAGTCCCATGGACTGCAAGAAGATCAAACCTATCCATTCTGAAGGAAATCAGACTTGAGTGCTCACTGGAAGGACAGATCCTGAAGCTGAGGCTCCAATACTTTGGCCACCTCATGAGACGAGAAGACTCCCTGGAAAAGACCCTGATGTTGGGAAAGATTGAGGGCACAAGGAGAAGGGGACGACAGAGATGAATGGACAGTGTTCTCGAAGCTACCAGCATGAGTTTGACCAAACTGCGGGAGGCAGTGGAAGACAGGAGTGCCTGGCGTGCTCTGGTCCATAGGGTCACAAAGAGTCGGACATGACTAAACGACCAAAAAACATGCAAGTAGCAGTACCTTAAAACTGGTGTGGTGGCTAAGAGATAGCCTGGGCCTACATGGACAAAGATGGTTACATCTTGTGCACTAGTTCTTTTGGAGAGGATGCAGCCTCTGGGTACCAGAAGTTACACTGCTCTGGTCCTAAAAAAATAATAATAAGTAGGAGCCCTACTAGACATCTCTTATTGGCAGCTATTGGACAAATCAACCCCAAATTTATTCTATCTGTGCTATCTTTTCCAGGCTTCTTCAGTGAAGGATCTGGACAAATGTTTCAGATCTGAGACCCAGGCCCTGAAACAAAGGTTGACAAAGAATCCATGGTGGAGAATGGAAGAAACGTGCTTCTATTCTCTTTAGCAGGGGTGTAGGTGGATTGTGTGTGTGGGGGGGGGGAGAAATCCATGCTCACATGGAAAGGGGCTGCTCTGGGTGTGGGTTTGCCTGTATGCATGTCCAGCAGGTGCAGGGAGGAGAAGTGTGCATTAATCAAAGTCTCCATAGCAGAGGATCTTTTTGTTGCTGTTCATGCTGTTGCTGCTCAGAGCCTTGGCAAAACACAGTAATTAGGGGATAGTTTCCAGCTGCAAAAGAAGGGACAACCCCTTCTCATTTGAGTAGGGTGTGTGTTTGTGAGTGTGATGGATGATGGAAGCACATATGTTTCCATATTCAACATGCAGGCTTTCTAGATGACACGGCTCTGCAAATGGGGGGAGACACCACCTGTCCCATGTATGGGGGGAAAGCAGAAAAAGGTCTCATCCTAAATAATGACAGGGCCTGGGCAAAGTGTAGGGATGGTAGAATCTGTTAATTTCAGTTTTATCTGTTAGTCATTTTTGCAATCTTAAATTCAGTTCTGCACATTTTGCAGCAGTTTGTGATTTATTTTTATTTATTTTTTAAAGCCTTATGAAAACTAATTAGCAACCAAAGAACTTCAGGCCAATATCCCTATTAAATAATGATGATAAGTTACACTGGAACCTCAGTTTTTCAGCACCTCGGAAGCCGAACATTTTAGAAGCCGAACATCAAATAGCCAGAAGTAATTGCTTCCATTCTCGAACGCACCTTGGAAGTCGAACAGCTTCCACTGCGTGTTTTTCTTTTTTCTCAATGGATTTTGCCAACCGCACATTGCTCCTCGGTTTTCGAATGTTTTGGAATTTGAACAGTCTTCCGGAACGGATTACATTCGAAAACCAAGGGTCCACTGTATATGCAACTATTATACCTAAAAGACTGGGAGAAGTATTGAACACATTTATCCACAAAGACAAAGCAGGCTTCTTGCCATCTAGACAAATAAGAAACAACATTAGGAACATCTTGAACATAACTGAATACCTAGAATAGAGAAATGAAAAGCAAGCAAAACTACTGTTCCTAGATGCAGCGAAGGTATTTGATAATGTCTTGTGGGTTTTTATGAAGGAATGTATAATATATATGGATTTTGGATTAGCATAACAATAATTGCTTTAAGCAATGGAAAGAAGATATATCAAACTTTATATGTCGGAGGGAGGGGGGAACCACGGATTAAATATAAAATTTTAATTGATGTGAAGAATAGAGGGGGGTTTGCCCTCCAAGACTTGAAACTATATTATGAATCAGCATTTTGTGTTGGATGAAGGAGTGGATAGAACTGAAGAATGTAAACATATTAGACTTAAGGGGAGCAGACTTAGTTTATGGATTGCATGCCTATCTTCATTACGATAAAGCTAAGGTACATAAGGGATTCCTTAACTATGTTATAAGGAGGAGCCTATACAATGTCTGGGAAAGACATAAGATATTTTAGAAAGAAAGACTCCCTGTTGGATTTCACCCATTTAAGCAGTGGCAGGAAAAAACTAAAAAAAATCCTTCCAGTAGCACCTTAAAGACCAACTAAGTTAGTTCTTCGTATGAGCTTTCGTGTATATGCACACTTCTTCAGATACACTGAAACAGAAGTTGCCAGATCCTTCTATATAGTGAGAAGGTGGGGAGGGGTATTACTCAGAAGGGTGGTGGGAATGGGTGATTGGCAGATAGCTGTGATGAGCCTGTTGACGACTCTTAACGACTGCAATAGGTCTTACAGGAAAAAGCAAGGGGTGAGAAGGTGAAAAATGGCTTTGTCATGTATAATGAATAAGAATCCAATGTCTTTGTTCAGACCAGGTCTCTCCATGGTTTTAAGTTTGGTAATGAGTTGCAATTCAGCAGCTTCTCTTTCCAGTCTATTTCTGAAATTCCTTTGTAGTAAAACAGCTACTTTGAGATCTTGTATAGAATGTCCTGGGAGATTGAAGTGTTTTCCTACTGGTTTCTCTGTCTTGTGATTCTTGATGTCAGATTTATGTCCGTTTATTCTTTGGCGTAAGGTTTGGCCTGTTTGTCCAATATAGAGAGCTGAAGGACACTGTTGGCATTTGATGGCATACACAATGTTAGACGATGAGCAATTAAATAGTCCCGAGATGGTATGTGTGATGTTGTTGGGGCCAGTAATGGTGTTGTCCGGGTGTATGTGGCAGCAAAGTTGGCATCTGGGTTTATTGCAGGCTCTGGTGCCAGTGTCCATGTTAAGTCTGGTTGTAGTATCATTGTGGGTTAGGAGTTGTTTAAGATTGGGTGGCTGTCTGTAGGCAATGAAAGGTCTTCCTCCCAGAGCATGAGAAAGAGAACTGTCATTGTCCAGGAGAGGTTGTAGATCTCTGATGATGTGTTGTACTGCTTTAACTTGGGAGCTGTATGTGATGACTAGAGGTGTTCTGTTAT